CTTTACTGTTTTTCAACTGAACAATGAAGTTTTTGGTGCAACGCTTGTTTTTTTTTTCTGTTTTAACAACAAAAGGAAGAAAATTCAAGCAAAGATTTACTTCTGATGTGTTGCTTTTACTGTGAATTAAATGAAGCATACTAAGATTTTGGCTGACTGAATCATGGATTTCAGCATGATGCATTTTGGAAATAACAGTCGCCAAGACTGTGAATAATTATCCTGTAAAGCTTCAGTTCACTTCATCCTGTCCTCTGTTCTGCATTTACGTGCTTTGTTCCTCTGCTTTAAACTCACCATGGTCTCCAAGTATTTATTTAGTTTGAAATTCAGCTCTCATTCTTGTTGTCTTGGTGTGTGTGTGTGTGTGTGTGTGTGTGTTTAAGATTGTGTGAATGTGTGTATCAGTTCAGTGTTGGGGTCTGCAAACAAGCCGCCGTTGTCTGACACCGGCACACAAGACTCCTGAAATCTCTGCCAGCTAGAACAGATGCAAGGTGCAAAAGCCTCCAAGATGCACACATGCACACACACACACACACGCACACACACACGCTTGTACACAAGAGCACTGACAAAAACACAAACATATACAGTGAAATATCTTACATGAGCACATAAATCCAAAGACAGTTTTTACATTTGCACAGAGGAAGTGCATATAAATACACAAAAATATTCACACACACACACACACACACACACACACACACACACATACACACGGTTTTCAGTCTCCTGGTGTTTGTTCGCCAAAATCGCTGCAAAGCCGAGAAGGGGTGAAGAAAAGGGGCGAGGAAGGGAGACAAGTGAAAGAAAGAAAAAAGAAAGAAAGAGAGGGTTGTATGGGCCCCAGTCTGAAGGGGGGGGGCTGAAGGAGCTGTGTGTGTGTGTGTGTGTGTGTGTGTGTGTGTGTGTGTGTGTGTGTGTGTGTGTGTGTGTGTTCGCATGTGTGTAAGTGTGTGCACCCTTCCTCTGCACTGAAGGGGGCATCTGTATGCAAATGAGACACGGTTCTTCCTGGGTGACAAATCAAAAGGCCCACCTGCTGCAAGGACCAGTCTGTGTGTGTGTGTGTGTGTGTGTGTGTGTGTGTGTGTGTGTGTGTATGTGTGTGTTGGGTTGGGAATAACAGGGCCAGTCTAATGAACAGAGGAGAGAGTTACTGCTGTGTCTTGGCCAAAGCGTCTCATTCCTCTCCTCTCCCTCCTCGGAAGACATCAGCCTCCTCCCCCACCCCACCCCAACCCCTCCTCCCCCACATGCACACACACTAACACACACACACATACACACACACACACACACCCAGCTGTCATGGAAAACCTGGCAGAGGTCACTTAAGTTTTGGGAATCTCATCTCATTGTCCTGGGAAATGTTAAAAACCCAGCGAAAAAGTTTGAAGTTCCTCGTTTGGCCCAGATTTGAACAGTTTAACTTCCTCTTTTCAAAATAAATGTCGCTCATAGGTTTGGTTGATGCAGTCCAGTTGTAAGGTAGAATTGCCTGGAGACTTTTAAAGAATAAATAATAACCTGTTGAGAAATTTGCCAAAGTCCCACGGAGTGAAAGCAGCATCGAGCCAAAACAAGATGTGATCCAGCAAAAAGAAAATCTAATATTTCAAAAAATGTGAATTACTTTCCAAAATGAGATCATTTTAAACTAAAATAAAGCACCTCTGGCTCTTCCACACAGATTCTTTATCACAAATCTCTATCAGTGTTTGGCAGTGTTTCAAGCACAGAAAGCTGGTGAAATCTCAAGCCGGTTACTGCAGATTAAAGATATAGTTAAGATAGAAACAAAATCCCTCAAATTGGATTTTTTACAGTAAATGTATAAATAAATATTGAAAACAACATTTTCAAAACTAACTCTGTAATTGTCCCCTGGGGGAAATTTAGCTGTTCCAACAGCAAAGTGAACGCGAGGGGAGAGAGAACGCAGCG